TTCGCGTCGTTTTGCCCTCCTTTCTTCGCTCATTAGACCGGGGGTGCTCCCCAATTAGCCGGTAAAGGATTGCCGCGACAGGGCGGAGGGAAGCCCGGTTTTGAAACCGTGCACCGGATAGCTTTAATTAAATAATTTGTTTCATCGCTCCCTCCTCCTCCCGATCCTTCCTTTCATCGTCTTTCAATTTCTTCGCGTCTGTCACGGCTTAATTTAACCTTGCAGAAGCAAGAGTCCAACGCACCGGAAAAATTCATTTTTATTTCTATAAAATTGTCTCGGGAGACGAGTAGGTTCTCTCTTTTACTTAAAAGGAAAATTAAAAAGAAATGAGAATCTAAATGTCTTCTAAGAAGATTCGCAGTGTATATACTTGGCGATTGTCACATATTTATTTCTAGAATCAACGTAGTCCTGCAATTATCTTTGTCAAACAAAAATAATTGTCAATTAGTTTTTATTTTCCATTATGTTTAAATTAATCGTTTATATTTTTTAAACGCAAGACGTTATTAAAACAAAAAAAAAGAAAACAAATAAAAAATTTATCGACTTTTTATATCGTGCGAATGATCGTGCAATAAAATAGTGTGCATATAATATTTGAATAAGGATATATTTATCATATAAAAATACGTATAACAAATTTTCCTGTACATATATTATCCAATAAAAGATAAAAAATAAAAAAACGGTTTTTATATCTCATAAAACAGGAAAATCGATGCGGTAAAATAATTTGTCAGATATTTAATGATTCCACAACAAGATTTGTGTTTTATTCGAGGATTTGTTAAGGGGAAAAGAATGTGTTTCGAGATACGCAGGATACTTGGAGGGCAAATTTTCTCGTAATGCCTTTCTCCAACTCGCAGTTACTTTCGACTACTTTTTTTTTACTCATTCCCTTCGTCCTTCCTTCCCACTCATCAACCTGCCTTTGGACGAGCGCTAGAGAGAGGGCTACGGGGCAAACTCGTATTCTCATTTTCCTCGTGCAAGATGGAGAAATAGCAATCACGACGAGTGGCGCAATAGAAACCGGATCTGATTCGACACGGAGAATCCCTTCTAGTTTCGTTTTCATTTAGTCTTTTTTTTAATCAATGTATTAATTACTTATATACAAGCGCGAGCTATGAAACATCGGCGATAATTATGCAATTAAGTATTGTTACAAAATTGATATGTAATTATTAATGCTATGTAAACATTTAGATATATTGAGCAAAATCTTATCTTCAATATTTTGTGTTTGCAGCATTCTTGTAACGATACTTTTGCATAATGTTACTACAAAACGCGATTTTTTTATAAAGATGTTCTTTTATGAAGTTTTATATCAAACATAATCCAAGTTTATCTAAAAATTCAACAACAATCTATCTTTTCATATTAGATCGTTTTACAAGCTTTATTGTACAATTTTAATGTAAGAATTTAAAAGAGGGGATCAAGAGAACCGTACATTTCGCGGGTAAATAACGTTCTAACCACCCAAGGGAACGATTACCGTCTCTACCGAAGGTTTACAATTTTTTTTTTTTTTTTCGGACGTTGAGCGCGCGAATCCCGCCGAAGGAAATCGTCCTCGATCAAATTACAGCACGGGAGAGCCTTTTAAAAGGATCCACGAGGAGCCTAAAGTCCTGGAAATGGGCGAGGTGGCGCGCCAGCTGATAGATTTTGAACGTCGGCTTCGCAAATCCTCCGCGTATCGATGGGTCCTTGCAAATCCCCCCAACGATCCTCGGGATGAATTTCGCTCGTCCCGGGCAGGATCGATCGCGCAACCCGCGCCCGCAATGTCCGTTTTCACTTTGCCGGTGGATTACAAGTTGCCATCTCGAGAGAGCTTTTACGAACTTGACAGAGAAACTCGTTCTCTTCTCCCTTTTCATCTGTCTCTTTTGTCTCTTTATGTAAAAAGGAGAGTTCTAGGTTGCGCGGGAATATTATACTCCGTTACGCTCTGCTTTCTCTCTCTTTCTCTAATAATTTTTACTATGCTTATTATACAATATAATCTTATCGCGAATTTAATGGACGGTGACACGCAGGTTGCATAATAAACAGTATTATTTAAATCAAAAGAATACGTAGTTTGCAAAAACATGAGTTTGCAATTCACGCGGTCATTCAAGCTGCGAATTTATAATTCTCAGATTTATAATATTGAAGATTTTTGTACAGAAAAAATTACGTAAACATTTAAATAATTATTTATAACTTGAATCAGAATGTCTTTTTCTTTTGGCCAAGTAAATACTTAGTGTCGATACAATAGTGTTATTTGAAAAATTGATTTATGAGCGCAATTTTTTGCGATTACGTAAGTGTAAAGCAAATTACAGAAAGATGTCTATTTGCGAGACAAAAAATTGCTCGCGGACGTGAAAAAATAGGAAAACTACGTTGTGGACAAACGTGGTGACGCGGTGACTGCGCATATGGTGCGCGTGACATGACTGGAATATTTGCGGCTGTTCGCATCGACAAGATGCAAAGGACTTCTCGTCCTTTGGCCCATGTACGCGACTGCCATACAATTATAAACAAATTATAAATGCAAACCAATCTAAGAAAGATAAACCACTTAATTATGTGGCTGAAGATTCTCTTCTTAATCTCTGTTGCTAAAAAGTTTAATTGTGATCTCCAATTAATATTATTAATATCAATTGTAGAGATAAATTCAAACAGCATGTTAAAGAATCTAATTTGTTATTATATGTATATTAGAAATAAAGGCAAAAAGAGATTAAAGGCAAAATATTTTACTGTAATAGTCTCTTCTAACAAATATTTGCTAATGGGAAATTTTTAAAGAACTCATTTATATTTGCAAAATTTAATAGAGTAAAAATAGGTGAAGAAAAAGAGCGAAAGAGAGAGAGAGAGGGAGAGATAAAGGAGATAGATAAATCGACCGATTAGTTCTTCAAATAATTTTAGCGTAAATCGAAATAGGATTGGGATCGTAATGGCTGTCATGAGGTGCGTCGACTGCAAACGCCGCGATACGACGACATCTTTATTATATTCGACGTACGTGCACCGGTTTCATTGTAAATTGAATCTCTCTATTATCTTCTGCCGTGTTTGTAGTTGCGCCTTATCCTGGTAAAGGATTTTTCTCGCAATCATCAGAAAATTAGCGTCACAAAATGCGCATGTAATTCTTATCTTTATTATTCCATTTTTATTACGCTTTAAACAATATAAATGGAACATAAATGGATGTTTCTAAAAAAAAAACCAATGAAATAAAAAAGTGTCTAAAAAGTTATTTTTGGATAAAAAAGATACAAATTATTATATACAAATTAAAAAGAGGAATTTATTTTAACAAGAAACACTACGGATGATCGATAAAATGGAATAGGGTTTAACCTTCTACTATCTTGCACAAGAAATTGCTTTCTCATCTATAGCAAAACATCCATCTCGAAATAATCGACTTGTTATTTCGTAATAAATGTGAATTTTTCACAACGTATTGTGATGGAAAATACGCGTTTCTAGGTAGAAAATGATACCAGCTCCATTAATAGTTAATGCACCCGAGCGTAGTCGAAATCGGTTTTCCAACCCCCGTAACTATTTATTCGGTGTAATTATGGATGCAACTGTGCGGGTGGAGAGACGAGAGATGATTCTGTCTGTTTTACGACGGCAAACAATGGAGGAGAGACTAAGTCCCGCGAGATAAAGGCGGGATGTTAGACGCCACCGTGTTGGGACAGCATCGCAAACAGCGAGTGCGCGACAGTCTCGCGATTCAACTGATTATTCTACCGAAGCGCGATCTCCGTACATATTTACCCGAGCAGGGTTTCTCTCCGAGAGCCGACAGCCCTCGAGTACCGCCATCCACCGCTAATCGACCGCCCGTTGATCGATCATCGATCTGATAGATCGCGCGCGGATGGATTTATCCAGGGAACGCGTCCAAAGTTCGTTGCGCCGATGGTGTCGCATTTTTCATCGACTAACTGCAACTAATTACCTCTTCTTTGTACATTACAAAGAGGTATATAATAAAGCTAATGAGAGAAAAAGAGAGGATAAACTATAGTCGATGCAAATTTATCCGCGCGATTGATTCTAAGAGTGATAAAATTGAGATGAAAAAGTCAGGCGTCAAATTATAGACTGCAGATAATTATACTTATTGATTTAAATTGTAAAAATTTATAAAGTCAATATTATTTTTTTAAACTAGTTGCCTGATTCTCATAATCAAAGATTGTGTATTGTCAATTTATAAATCTTCTTCCATTTCTTTTAAAGCGTCACGTTTTACGTCATTGTACGCCTGTGATCAAATCTTTGAAATTTAAATTGACTTTATATTTTAACGAATAATCCGTATTTTGAAAAAAAAAAACTACGGAATTCAAGACACATTAGGGGAAATAATCCGATACACGTACATACTCGATTCCTGTCCAAAAGCCTGCATTCGTGCTGATAATGGAAGGCGCGTCGGCGGAGAACAATAATGTAACATCGCGGGTATAACGTAATCTGTGCATAATTGAACGTAAACACGCCGATAATTTGAGCCAGCAATGGTGAACGGACCGACGGTGGGAAAACAGTCATCACGCGGTTTCGTGAGAATATTCTGCAGACGAACGAATAATTGCCTAGACCTGCATTCTCGCAACAAGCTACAGCTTAATCAAACTAAACATCTACGGGGCGAACATTGCTATTCTAACGAATCACCTTCGAAGAGTTCAGAATGAAAGCCAGATAATCCATCGTTGATGTTATGCCAAGATTTTCTAACTTATTAAATAATAATTTCAAGTAACTTAAATGTAAACGAGAATATTTATCATCAATCAGCTACGTGTGCGTGTATGTCAAAATCAATTAAAAAATTTTTCTGGATTAGAACTCATTTTAATTTTATATTACTTTACAAATATTTTATTTAACGGAGTTTGTGATTTTTTTTTACAACCTACGATTTTTATCGTTTCACTTACCTGGGGATAATCACCGTCCTTTATCTGATAGTCGAATACGTAAAAGTAGGTCTTGGGCATCGGTTCCTCCTCGCTGTCGGGAATCGGCGCTATGTGAGGATTGTTCGGTTTCTTGGTATGCCTCAGGGTGAAGAGATCCCCGGTCTGTACGAGCGGCGCCACGAACTGCGCGTCACTCAACGCCTGCACGCATGCATCCTTCGTGTTGACGGGATGTTGAACCGTTCGTTCCCAGTCGGTGTACTCGTTCACCACCTATGCGAAAACGAATTTCAGGTCTGTCATTCACTGTCATAGACACGGCAAGAAACTGCCGGAATATCAGGCGGCGCGTGACCAATTTGCGCTTGAAATGATTCCTCTTCAGCGCGCGCTTATTAAAAGTACATTTTAGGAAAAGAATAAAATATAAAAAAGAATGCGAAAAAATATTTTTTTTACGTTAATACACGTATCTTTTTCAAGTAAAAATATGTCCCTCGTTTTTAAAAGTCTCTTCAATTAAGCTTTAGAAACCTCGCGAGTTTTACATGCAATATCGAATCAATTTTCCCTTACGAAATATGCGTTTAATCGCGCGATAGCTCCCCTATCGCGCTCGTAAAAATACATTGTCGCGGCCGTAATCATTTAATTGTCTGTAATCATTAAGTAATGCGTGCGTCGCTCTCCTGGCGTGGACCGATAACGCGCCGGCCAAATGGAATTGCGTCGCCGATGTATTTCGACAAAACGCAACGCTCGCGTTTCAATCGTTAGGTATGGAACGTAACAATTATGTCGTGCGATAAATTCCGCGAGAATGCAACGACACACGCGCCGCAAATATGCCCGGCATGTCGCATACGGCTGGCGATAAATACGATTCATCTTTGCTCTTTGAAAATTGATTTTTCCATCCTCGAAAATCTCTCCATCGGACAATAATTTAAGCTTAGATTTTAATATTTTAAGAAAAATATTTTGTATATTATAATTTGTGACAAAATAATTTAGGGGTTATATGTCAGTATAATATCTAGAAGGATAAGAGAACAAATAGATGCTAGGAAAATCCAATTCACAAATTTTCGAAAATTTAAGAATACAATATTGCAAAGAATGATTGAAATTAAGAGTAATATTCTAATATTATTATTAGCTCTTTTATTTTTGGTAAAAATTTTTTATTTAAATATATCTACAACATAAATAAAGAATTCTTACTCATTAAAAGACGACTATATTTACCCTAATTTTATAAAATTATTTTGTAATGTAAAGGATTACACATTATGATTGTACACACTTGTCACGTGTGAAAATTTTTTATTTTTCAATTTTATAAATAAAAAAATAATGACTCACCGTGTAAAATATCTCAGTGAGATGATAGACGTAGGCATTCCTCACATACGTGCGGATGATCCTGTCTCTTCTCTCTCCCTCGAATCCTTGCAAGACATCTTTCTCCGCAAACTTCCATAATGCCTCGCTCGTTGTCACACCAAACAATAGATCGTATTTGTTGTTGCTAGTAATTGGTGCACCATGTTCAGCCTTTTTTGAAAGAGGCCTAGAGTCAACAATAACAAAAAATTTTAATTTAATACAAATTCATTTATTATAAAATTCTCAAACAATATAATTAATCTTTAAGAAAATTAGAAAATAATATATTCTTTTATTATCTTTAATATGCATATATATAAAGAATTAAAGAATTGAAGTAATAATAAAATTAATTGCACATCTTAAATATTTTTGAGAAAATAAATTAAAAAATAGTAACTAAGTAAATGATACTAAGATTATAATTGTATTGTAAAAATGTAAGAACATTTGAGACAATGTTATTAAAATAATTTCAATACGATTAGAATACGAAGGCGACATTAGCTAAATCTAAAAATCTCGGTCAGTAATTGCAAATGGGGAACAGAAACTCGCTTTGGAAGTAAAGATGATAATATGAGCTCGCTCTATGGTTTCCGGCTGCGTGGCGCGATCTTCGATTGTAAGTATGCTAATGACGTTGTAAGGTCGGGGTGGGTCGTTTACAATCGCGTTAATGAACCACGCTAATGTTCGCGATGGCGAACCGGCTCGTTTAGCCCCTCTTTTTCCATTTAACGAGAAAACTCCGGGATCCGTCAGACGGAAGACGGAAAGCGGAATTATTGTGGAAGCCGACGTTAAGTACGAGACATTCCCTTCTTATATATTACATTTTAATGATATATATAAATCAAGAAATTAATATATTTTTGTAAACATTATAGTCAGCATGTAATATGATGCATAAAGCTAATTCTTTAAATGTGTAGTTCTTAAAAAAAAATTATTATTTTAAAGATTTATCATATTAGATACATTTTTATCCATTTAATATAGATTGATATTGGAAACACGGCAAAAATATTAATATTGGATTCAGTTCGAGTCAATATTTTTTAAGCAATTCAAAAAAGAAAAGAAAACGTAATATTTTTGAAATGAAGAAGAAATTGTTTTCCTAAAAAGAAATATAATAGTTTTTGAAAAAACTGCATCATAAAGGATAAATTCTTTGATAAAAGTTCATATGGGAATACTTTGATATTTCTATTTTTATTTTCACAAATTGCGAAAAAAAAGATACCATGTTTCTCGTCGATAAAGGAATTACTCTCTCGAGAAAATTGATCCGATGGACCGGAACAGCTTTTCTATTCCTTAAAGTGACACACAGAAAGAGGGATATTTCGCGATAAAGGGTTATTTTCGCAAACGGATTCCGTACTCGCGACTGAAGTATCAATAGAAAACCTGATTTTTATTTCCTTAGCTCTAAAGAAATATAAAATAAATATAGTAAAAGAGATATCAATTGATATGCCAAGTACTAAGAATTTATATATTTTTTAAAAAGAAGAAAACATATTTGAATATGTATAAAGAATGTGTATTTTGATCAATAAACGTATAAAGAGGAAAAAAAATAGCAGTAAAAATATTTAAAATCTTAAAATTTTCCCCGAAATTTAAATCTTTATATTATTTTAAATACTTTTACTAAGCAAAATGTAGTTTTTTTGTTTCATATTTGCATTAATAATCGTTGTCGAGACAAATTTAACGACATAATATTATTTATTTATAATACATCTCTCACATACTAACACACACACCTACACATATTTATCTTGCATAATCGTTATCTACCTAGACTTTATCTTATCTTGTAATTTATCGCAAATTCTTCTCTCTCTCTCTCTCTCTCTCGCTCTCATATATTTTTTGATAATTAAATCTTTGAAGCGTGGTATCTCGAATCGTTACATCTAATGCCGGATGAAACGCATTTTACGAGACGCTGAATATTATACGAGTGGATTGTTTGAGGAGGAAATTACGTCGGCGAAAATGGCACTGCGGATGGATGGGAGCTACCATCGTTATTCTTAGCGAGAAAAGAAAGACAAACCAAAGTCCCTCTCAAACCTGAAGAAAGACGTGGTCGACGAACCATAATTATCCGAGAGAAGAATCGTTCTCGCGCAGACTGCTCGCGTCGATGTTATTTGCCTAAGGAAAAATGTAACGCCAGATCTTGTGCTTTAAAGCAGAGGTTTTCAATCTTCACTCCGCTCGCATTATTAACACCGTCATTATCCCGTCAGCAGTCATGCTATTAGCATCGTGTATTAAAATAAAAATTATTTTCCAACGTAACAAACATAAAAAAATTTATTTATATGTAATTATAATGCGCGCGCGTTTTTAATTATTAAAATATATTATAATGAGTTTAAGACTTTCCGATATCTAATTTAAAAAAATTTTTAAATATATTCATAATTATTATTTTTGGTAATTAAAAAACTGATTAATTCGAACGAATTGTGTTCTACTCTTAACTGCTCTCAGATAAGAAAACAGGCATTGTATTTTAAACGGAAATGTAATTTTCAATTTTGAAGAAGAATAAAAAAAAAATAGGTATAAAATGCTTTCTTCGAAAAATTATTATGCGATTTTTTTTGTCGAGCAATTTATCAGGGAAATTAACAAGAGAGAGACAGAAAAAGAGAGGAAACAAGGAAAAAGGAATAAGAGAAGAGAGAAAAAAGAGAAGAGAGGCCGAAAGCAGGAGATAATAGGATGTCGACGAGTCTCGGTACCGCCGTCTCAGAAAAATGGAATTTTCATTTCTATCCTTAGTGATACAGGAAAGAATGAAGCATCCACGGAGCTAGGAAAGCTAGAGAAGAATCGGGGCACGTCACGAACCTTTTTAATCGAAGGATTTTTCTGTGCACAAACAAATATAGAAGAAAGGGAAATGATGCTTCTTCTCTAGCGAAACGAATGAGTACAAAGCATCTTAAATGATGGAATTCGCAAATAACGCGAGTTTTATTAAGGGAAAAAAGTTTTATGATCTTAGCATTAGAGTACTGGAAGTGACAGCGACATAAATCTGGTACTAACTTGCAAAAGAAAAAAAAAGAAAGAAATATAAAACCAAGCATCGTTTTTCCGCGCATAAACTACGTTGAAAATTTAATATCCTGTACTATCGCTTCCACGATCGTGAAATCTCCAAATCATTCTAATGATTTATTCTTTCTTGCGAGTGTGATAGCTCGACGAATCTAAATCCTCCCCTTATTCGCAAGATTGAGCAAGGATTTTTATCGATATTGTTACGCTTCTTTGAATGTTTCTTAATTAACAAGACCAAGACGACGAACGTAAAACAACCGCAACGGATAAAAGAACGAGCGAGGGAAAAAACTCCCGGTCTCGCCGGACACGCGTGCATGGCTGCGCTCTCCTCATAAGGGTGGAAAGTATTTTCCAATAGCGCGACGAGGGTGGCGACTGGTAGGAAGGGGCGATATTTCACGCACATAATATCACGAGCGCGGAAGCGGAGGGAGAACGAGGGTGGGCGACGGGGATAAGAGGGAAAGCCTTATCCTCTCGGCCGTGTCCATCCCCGGAGGGAGCTCGCAGAGGCTGTTAACCGTCGAACGTTAACCGTGAACACGACCACACGAAGACGGCAGCCGCCGCTGGATGAAGATATAAAGGAAGAGACAGCCAATATCCTCGGCAATGTGTTACCACGCCGATCCGCGCGTGTTCGTCCTCGAAAATACCGCGAACCCTGCAAAATAGCGGTAAGAGATCGGGAAGGGGATGGGCGGATATCGGAGAAAGAAATTTCGCGCTGATATTCTTGCTACTTTTCATTTTCTGGACTCCTCTTCCCCGCTATCTCTTTCCCGGGGCGAGGAATGCGTTATGATAAGACGGCGTAGCGATTCTCGCGACAGATGACGGAGTTTTTTACGGAATATTTCGATCGCCAAGCCAAAGATTTTCTCAACAATCCGTTCTCGAGATTCCAAAAAGAATCTTAACATTTTTTAGCGTGATTAATGTTTTAATAATAATATGCAGAAAGTTAAATCAAAAGACAAAAGATTCTTTTTTAATCCAATGCAAGTGTTCAAATTTTTTTTAATTTGGGATGTTTAATTTTATTGTTTAGTTTATATAAAAAATCTTGCGAGATTTTTTACGATTAAAGTTGAAAATCTCTGTTTGTTTGAAATCCACAAATTTGTTTTTTTTTGAGAAAATAATGGAATTGTTACAGAGACAAGTTCGCGTGCGAAAAGCCTAAGCCCATTTTTCGCTTTCTCCTCGAAGATCTTGTTAGCAGATTCAATTGCGATTTGATAAAATGATTGGATTTTTTGCGAGTTTGTAAGTGCACCGAGGAGAATTTGCTTCGAAGAAAGAGGAAAGCATCCCTCTTTTTACTTGCAAATACGTAATTGGCGTTGTGCGTAATTAAGCAACACGGAATAACGCGCTGTAACGAAGCTCATGTAAAACTTGCTACTCTTCAATTATGTGTAATGCAAAAGCGCTCTTAATCATTTACGAGACACGCCGGCGCGCAGCGTGTATCCTGAATAATTGCGCACGAAACATGGCGGCGAATGATTTAGAAATTTTGACCAGCTCCGTTCTCGAGAAAATTAATAACGCTCCCCTGCATTTTGTAATCCACAACTATAATTGTTTTTAGCTAAATTAAATTTTATCAACTGTACCGCGTGTTGTTTTATATAATTCAAAATACGACCCATTTGTGAGAATAAAATTCAATATATTAAGAACGCAAGAGAATCGAGAAATCTGGACCATTATGACAATCTCGCGTCCTCCCTTTGTATAAGATCAATAGAATTATATGTTGTAATATTACTTTAAAAATATAGTCTGCTATTGATTCTACAATAAATTCTGCATCGTTTAAATCATATTTCCGATACTCTTTAATTTTATAACGTATCGCTCTCTAATTATGTATATTTAGCTTAACGCAACAGTTTAGATTACTTACCCCGAACGACGGTGGGACTGATGGCGAGAAAATGCACGCAGGCGGCCCCGGTGCCCTGGCCCATAAGGGTGACATTCTCGGGATCGCCCCCGAAACGGGCGATGTGCTCCTTGACCCAGTGAAGGGCGGCAATTTGGTCCATGAGGCCGTAATTCGCGACCCTCGCCTTGGTCTGCGGCGCCACGTTGGCGTTCAGGAAGCCGAGCACGCCCAGCCGGTAGTTCATGGTGACGATCACTTGGTCGGTGTAGCTGGCTAGCACGCTACCGTCGTAGGGGTTTCCGCTACCCCAGTCGTAGCTCTCGCCGTGAATGTACAGCAACACCGGATGCTTCTTGCCGCCCTCCGCCATGCCTGCCGACACAAAGGAGTCGCGTCGCGACGCGACGTGTCGTTTTAGTTTAGTTCCTCTTCCCCTCGACGCCGCGAGCCGGGATGACAAAGACGACGGTGCCGACAACGGCACGCCTTCTTTGTCGCGACACGACGCGTCTACCTGCCGAAGCATCCGGATACGACCCGGAATTGTCCCGTGTTCCCGGGCAAAATGCTATCTCAAGCGGAGCATCACGATATCATCTCTCTTAAAGTTCTTTCAGTTATTATTATACAGATAAAAGCAGTAAATGTATGAATATTATATTTTATATATTTTGTGTTAAGTTTTTTTTAAACTCGAATATGAATTTAGTAAAGTACAAATAAGAGTAATTTTATTAATTTAAAAAGAAAGTTTCTCGATATATATTAAATATATTTGTAATTCTTTATAAGATACATTTGTAATATATTCGACATGCTATTTTGTTCCAGAACATAAAGTCCTAGAAATCGATAGGAATAAGACATGAAATTATCGAGCCGTAAAATTACAGGAGAAAGCGTTCTTGTATCTCGCCATCTTTTGCTGGATTTTACGATAGCAATTTTCGATAACGCGTATTTTATAAAAAAAATTTTTTTAGATATCATATTTTTATCTGTCTGTACGAAAGAATTATACGCTTTCTTAATTTAAGAAAAAAAGAATAACTTGCATACTTTCTATATTCTATATATATGATTGTCTCCTCTGCCACATATTTCACGATGATATTTCGACTGTTTCAAAGATTTCTCGAAGATTTATATCGCACAAGGAATATGGAATCAAAGATGTCTAGATTCCTCTAAAAGTTATCCGCAATTTTTAATAGTTTTTAGTCTTATTTCCGCATTTTTCTTTCTCGCGACTATCTCTTGAAATCCTTTGAAAAACTCTGCAACTACTTGCCTTCCCTGTCTCTTTCTTCTTCTACTGAATGCGACTTTCTATATGGCTAGACATACGGTCAACATCGCTCTTTGTTTCGATAAGAGTCACTTCCGTCTCACTTTCACAACCGTAACGACAAGAGTGGTACGGTGATGTGGCAAGTGGTAGGTCCATATTTCGCGATAAGGAATGTCTCTGGCAAATCCTTCGGCGAAAGAAATCTACAATTCCAATGCTTACCGTGTGCGCTTCCTCGTGGTTTACACACGATTCAAAAAACGTGAGACAGACAAGTAGAAAAAGACAAGTTTTTCAAAAGACAGATTTCCGAACGCAGTTCTCAAAAAAGGAAGACACGTTTCAATTAGTCTGGTTGTTAATTTTCTACACCTAACATATCCAAACCAATTTTTACTATCGCCTTAATTAGTTTGATTGATATTATATATGCAACTCTCGCAAAAATCACCCATTTTTTCACTGAAAGATTATCAAACGCAAGGTTTCTCTCTTTCAAAACTTATTCAGCAATTCTCTTTTTACGCAACAGGAAAGGATATCCTTTGAACGTTCGTCTCTTTTCGAAAGACTTCAATTCATCGAGAAAATTTTTTTCTCTAGTCCACCTATCTGATTCTGCAGGCCCGTCCGAAATTATCTCAGAATCTTAATCAGCTAAGTCCTCCGTCTCAAAGTACTTTGCAAGTTAGCAGTGTATTTGCCGAGACTCTTTATTCGGATTAATGCAGATCCGTTTCAACTTCGTCTTTGTTCATTATATACATACAAAATGTCTCTCGCGTGATGAGATAACAAGAAGAGATAAAAAAACAACAGTATAAAACTTGTTTGACTTATTAATTTGCATGAATGTATCTCGAATTGAGAATCAGAAAATTCCTGCCAATTTTTTTTAGCGAATAAAACGCATGTTTTAAATAACTCGTATTTTCAGGAAATCAATCACGGGATAAATGTATACGTGGCCGAAATTTATTATTTAAAATAAATTCAAAAATAAATGTATTTATATATCTGTACACATTTATATAACATAAATTTTAATTAAAATAGAGAAAAGTATCATATATACACACACATGTGTGCTTCGTAAAAATAAATAAAAAAATTTTAATATAGATATATCATAAATACAAAATTTTGTCTTTTTTAAATGAGCTTTAAGGAATAATTATTAGTATTGTAGTCATATTGGCATTAAGATCGTCGAAAAATGCATCTCAGAAATGGATTCTCTCTTATTGTCGCGGATGGTAGTGAATTAATGGTATGCGGACGTAATTGAAACAAGCTGGAGATAAATTCGGCGATCGGACGAACCAACATCGTCGCACTCGGACATTTCGAAATGGCAACGATGCGAAAATATTTAACGTCAAAACTCGATATTACAGCGGGCTTTCTGCACTCGCTAGAATACTCGATAAATCCCGCTCCCGGGAAAATAGATTAGCGCGATAGGTCATCAGCGAGACTTCTCGCGACATGCACGCATTGGTATCAATTTATTCGTCCACACAGCCTTCCCCCTCTCGTACTACGATCAAAACAACGAGTGTCAAACATGCCTGAAATAGTTTCAACTTTGTCTCTGCACGTTACGTATAATGTGCATCGACATGGCGCTCGTTAATTAACGTTGCCAGATGAGTTAATATTAACAAGCGTCAGTAATCGTACAAACGTTCTGACGCGTTCTGACTTTCACAATGGTCTTTCATTATTTCGTACTATAATACGTCACACCGGAAATTTGCCTTCAGCATTATATAATTTGACACTGAAATGATTAATAATTTATATAATCTATCTAAAATTTTAAAATATAATCCGATGTATAGCGATGAGTATGACAATTTACGAAAACGGATGACACGCCTTTCCCTTTACAAAAAAAAAAAGTTTAATCCAAGCCTAAAAGTCAAAGAGCGAATTTGTTGGCGTAACAATACGTTGCCACGGGCACGGCCATTTTTGCAATGATGTTACTCGTCCATCATCGGAAATCCGATTACACAATCCCGTTTTAGCTTGCGCTTTCGGCGTATCATTTTTAGCTCGTTATTGTAACAGTCCGGTATGTAAAGCCCAGTTTATAGCGTCCCCATCTCTGATCATTATCCGCCATAAACTAATCCATCGATGCAATAGCAATTATGAAAAATGAAAAACAACCTACTTGAATATGTGAAATTAATTTTAAACTCTTGTATCCACTTCATCCGATTTAATATACTACCCAACTATTTATACTCGTCATATTAACATTTATTCATTTCCATTTTGATATTGTACCATAAATTCTACTTTTCTTCCAAATGTCAAATATTATCCCAAGTGTCTTTTACTTTAACTAATAGAATCAGTAGGTTAATTATTAAAAGTGAATAGTGTGAATTCGATGTAACGTGGATCAATTATTGCTCGCGATATTACGAGAGAGATTGCATAGCTGTAACACGGCACGAAACTTGCAGGCGGCTTCGGTAACTTTATCGCTCGCGACTCATTATGCACAAACAGAATCAAAAGTACGTAATTACATCGCGAACTTTGCAGCGTAAACTGCGACGGGCATAATCCGCACATAATGTGCACAGTACGTGAAAGCAAATTAATTACTTCGTTCGTCGCAATATCGCCGGCAAGTTTGCAAACGCACGGACAAGGCTTGGGATGTACCAGAGATTCTCTCGCTGAATTCTAACAATAATTAATTTTATATCGTATTCTATCATGTTTTCGTTATTTTATGAAATTTTATTGCTTTCAAGCTAAAATTAATGAAGCATTTTACTTATATGAATGCGCGTTGATCTCCACGCTACATTGAAATTTTATTTCAATTCGAGTTACACAATTTTTATTTCAAGCCAGCTGCATTTCAGAGATTTATTTCCATAATTCATCTATACGTTGCTTTACGTTTAAAAGTTGTGTTGATTAAATCATTGAGAGAAAGAGAGGGAGGGGGATGAGAACTGCAAAAATAATGAAAAAGTTAATAATAAAATTAATAAGTTAATATATAAAATTCAAAGTCTTGTGAAACCTTATTTAATTAATTTAAGATAAAGATTTAAGCAATTTAATTTAAAACAAAAATGTATTTTAAATATTCTCTTTTACGTTATAAAAGTAATTATATATTATACTA